CGACCCCTGATCAACCCCATTGGCTGAATTGAACTCACCTGGCCTAGGTGGGCCAATTCAGGTTCATGCTCATCCATGCCTACCACAGGAAACCTGAGCCTCTGGGCATGTGCGCCACTCCTTTGTTCCCCTAGCTTGGCCCTCTGGGCATACCTTAACAGACATTCCCCTGCCCTACGCTAGTCTATCTAACAGAACCCCCAGACCCACGTGGAGAAAGATGAAAGTCTGTCTGTTTGCAGGCGTGTAAAATCATAGAAGAGTAGAGGCGACTTTCAAATCCATTAAAACCCCTCTTCCAAGGGATGTGAGTTTGGCAAGTCACCAGGATCCAGGGCAGGTTAGCGGGGATAGCAGTGACAAAGTTGTCCTCGCTAAGTTGGTGACCCAGCTAAGCCAGTGAAGCGATTGCAGCAGTCATGGGCTGTAGAAGCAGCCACACCTCCCCTCTCTCCTCTCTTTCACTGGTCACATGAGTGGCTTCCATCCTAGTGTCTCCTTCCTTTTCCTCCTATCTTAGAAGTCAGCTGCTTGTTGGAAAGTGAAAGTGATGAGTCTGTAGGCAGGAGGACAAGTTCAAAGGGCGATAACTACTGCCAAGTCCACCTCTCTGATTGCTGATTGAGATTCTCAGATACATTAGCAGGTAACTACATTGTGTATGGAGTAGGGAGAAAGGGCTAGAAAGCAAACTGCAAGTCGAAACTTTGCTACGAAAAGACTTTCAGGAGTGGTATGGGAAGAGGATGCTTGCTGAAGAAATGGATACATAGGGATTTGTGGTACCTGACTGAGCGTGGAAGTTTTTCCTAAAAACAGATTTCTAATCTCTGCAGTCTTAGACAATATATATTGTAATGGTAAGTGTGCATATCTGGTCCTTTAGACTGCCCTTCTGTATTTATTTTACTTAAACAACATCCGCTATGGCTTTGATCACCACTGGAATTTAAGGATTCTGTCTCAGCAGAATAGAAAACCAGTTTCTCTTTCATAACCGGTGTTAGGGTGGGATCCCATGCTTCTCAGTTGCCGAGCATGCTGTAGTTCTTGGCCAGGACGTGGCGGTGTGCTGAGAGAATGGCTTTGTAAAAGATGCTGCTACTTGTTGATCTTAGGTAAGCAGTGTTCAGGAGTGGAGGTAAGGAGAAAAGAGAAAAAAATGTTATATCCACCCATCTACAATGCTTTAGGAGATGCAGAGGGCACTGCACTAGTAGTGGTCAAGGGTATGGATTTTGTAGCCAAACTGTGGGTTTGAATCCCACTTCTTCATTCACCAGTAATTTCGGCAAAGGACCTCCCCTCTCTACATCTCAGCCTTCTCATCTGTAAATTGGAGTTGATCTGAACTATCTCATAAAACTGTGAGGATTAACAGATTACTGTGGGGCTAGTGGTGTAGTGGGTTAACTGCTGATCTGCTAACCACAGATTAGTGGTTTGAATCCACAAGCCGCTCCGAGGGAGATAGATAGATGAGGCTTACTGCTCCCATAAAGATTTGCAGTCTTGAACTGGAAAACTGTTTGTGACAATTGGTAAATGCCAAGAACCAAAACAATATATGTACCCCATGTGGTTTGATTTCCATTATGCTATATCTATATTACATGTGTTTATAGTCATCTATATAGAAAAAAGATGAAGAAATATATTTTAAAATATTAACTGCTTAACCCACCCCCCAAGAAAAACAACTCCAGACCCCCAAAAGGTTTACAGCC